CCATGAGTGGCAGGTGGCTGACTTTTACGGAGACTTGCCACGGTCTCCAACCCTCCTCCTTTCTCATCCGCGCTTGGGACCGGCCATGGCGGAGTTACTAGATTGTTAATATGTTCAAAATCCAATGATTGCATTATAAATCCTTGCTGCCTCTATTTTGTCGTAAGTGACTGTGGTTTAGCAAAGCTTGTTTGCCCCATGACGACGGACAACATTGTTTGACCAAAGCGGAAACGGTAAAAATAAATACTGTATGTTTAGTCGTAATGTCAGTTTCATTGACTGCATACATTTTCGGGTTGCGGAGGCAGACATGTCAGACATTGTCTCCAACATTACTGACGAGCGTTTTAGCTTTGGCAGATGATATGAAATTTGCCAAAAGTCATTCTTGACCGTCTCTGTGTGACGAGTATCAAACCATATCCACTTTGAACCATCTGGTTTCATCAGGTAGCTTCTACTCTTCATCTCTGAGTAAGGCGAGCTTAAATTTTCCTACTGTAGCGAAGTTTTACATGAGACCTTTCCACGGTCTCCAGCTGCCCTCCTTTCTCATCCAGGACCGTGATCAACAACAGCGTCGAGTAAGAGGAACTGTATTTCGTGACTTCAGTAGTTCATGTAGCGGTTTTTAGTACGCAGATTTTCATCTAAATGATAATATTAATGGTAACTGCTGTTAAAGAACTGTTACCAGACTGTCCACTATTAGTTAAAATGGTGGCATCTTATTTTGAGAGATGAAACCATATCAGAGGTCTATTATATACATATTTCCGAACATACTTGATCTCTGATTTTAAATGGACCGTAATAATGCTTCAGAATGGTCAAATGTGATATGAAACGTGGGAAAATAGTAAACTTGTTATGTGGTGTATGCCGTAATAAGTTTTGCAATTTGAACTAGATTCCGAAAAAAGGTTCGGTTTTTAATAATAGTATTATCATTATAATAATTCATGTAGTTGTTTTAAGTAATATTTATTATAAGATAACTGAATATATTATCAATCTTATCGCATGTTAAGTCTCACATACATGATAATGTTTCACTTGTGTTCATCGTATC